GATTTTAGCATATGGCTGCAATATAACAAAGAGTGAAACATTTAAGGGGGTCTGAATACTTTTCTTACCCACTGTAGATACTACAGAGACTTTTCTTCCTGGTTAGATAAGAGGAAAACCACTTACAAACAGCTCCAGATAGGCCGACACGCTCACTCAGTCTATTAAAAAGAAGCTGGTGGTCCACAGTATCTAAGGCTGCTCTGAGGTCCAGCAGCACCAGAACTGAAGACTTATTGTTATTGAGAATTATTCTGTCATTCGCAACTTTTAGTGAGACTGTTTCTGTGCTGTGATTGTTCCTAAGCCCTAACGGCAACACTTCTAATTTCATGTTTAAGTTTAAAAAGCTACATAGCTGATTAGAGCCTAGTTTCTCTAAAAGATTACCAAAAATATAAGGAAACTGATTTGAATAGGCAGAAAACTGAAAATTATAAAAACACTCAAACAAAACAAAGCAGGAAAAACAGAAGCAGCCATCCTGTCTGTAGTTAGAGAATAAATAAAGAAGAACTCAAACGAGTGTGGGACTTTAGGTACTTAAGTTATAGGAAGTGTGACAGGACAAAAAAAATACATCCTAAAAACACTGCACAGCTGTGCAAAACAACAACAACAATAAAAATGTTTATTTTGTAAAACTTTTGTACTTTTCTCTGTTTTGTTTCACTTCTCGTTTCTGTATGTGCCGTGTTTTATTCTGATGTGAAGCACTGATGTTATAGTGAAACACATGGTTTCATTCATTCATCCATTTTCTACCGCTTAGTCCCTGAACGGGGTCACGGGTGGGGCCGGAGCCAATCCCGGCCGGCAATCGGGCGAAGGCGGGGTACACCCTGGACAGGTCGCCAAGCCATCGCAGGGCTACACATGGTTTTGGTGTCTCTATTTATTCTTTAAGTCCCACTTGTGTGTGTGTGTGTTACCTGGTTGGAGAAGTACAGCTGGTAGGCATGGCTGACCAATCGGCTCCTGAAGCTAAGGCTCAGCTGACCCTCCAGGAACCTGATGCCACTGTTGATGAAAGTTGCAGGAACTGCGACGAGAAGCCACTTAGAGAGCTGCAGCACGAAGGCCCGAGGGTCCTTCTGTACGATACACTTCACTATCGCACCTGACAGATTGATATTATTGATTATTAACTATGTTTTTACTCAGCGCACAGTGTAGCAGCACATACGGCGAAACAGTGGTGTGCTCACAGGCCTTGTCGTGAACACACTGACAGGCACTGACCGTCCAGAGCAGCGACGTAGATGGATAGGAAGGTCCTGGACATGAGAGTGAGTGAGTGCAGAGCGAGCAGACCGACCTCTGGGCACAGGAAGCGTGGAAACAGGAACTTTAACAGACGAGACAGCCTGAGGACAAAGTCCCTGTTCACTGCCGGAGACCTGAGGACACACAGAGACAGGCATCTCTAACTAGGTTCATCCAGGGGGTCAGATTAACAGCTGTGGGTTAAAAGTCAGGCTTTATGGCGTCATACCTGTGGACGGACAAAATGTCTGTCATACAGACCCTGTCAGTCACGCGGACACACAAAGCACAAATTGGCCTTAATCCAAACCTGACTCAAACCTTCAAACATAAAACCAAGCCCGAAGCTTCACGCTGCACGTTGACGTTGTCAGGACTGGCCAGAAGAGTCCTCACAGTGCTGGTTTCTAACAGAACTGCCTTGTGTTTGCTGCTATTCACAGTCTCCCCCCTCAATTCCATGGGTGCGGCTACACTGCATCCCGTCTGCAACATGGCTTTGATCAGTCCTCTGTGCGGCTTCGTCCCCCAACGGGCCTGTCTGCAGGCTTCATAGGCTTTGTAGTTAAGTGGTTTCTTTTTTGTCTGTTGTGTTTATTGTTCTTAATTCTTACTTTGTTGTCTGTAGCCTACAGATAAAGACTACAGTTAATGGTTAAATTTAACGGTTACAGTTAACCCGCAAGGAAAAGATTTGTGGCTGTGTTTCAGTGGTTAATAGTACGTTCAACCTCATAAGCTAATCATTTGGTAGCCTGTTTCACACAGATATCTTTCAGGGAAAGCACTATCTTGATTGGTGGGTCCCACTTTGTTAGAAGTGTCCCAGATGCGGCATCCATCAAAAATAAACTAGCTGCATTTCTTTAGCAAAGTGGATTGGAGAGCCACATGTGGGAGGGATCCAAGATATGATGCAGCCAGACTCAGTGGAATCACAACCATTGACTAGACTGGCAGCAACCAGCTCTGGTGACCGCTTCGCAGACAGAACGCAATGCAGCTGTAACCAGTGGAAATGAGGGGTCAGTATATCTATTCAGCCTAGTTATGTACAGTACAGTTCATACAAAACCAGTACATTCCTCTGACCCTGTTTGTTCACTATACAAATAAAAACTGACTTAACTGTGTCCCCACAGCCACAGACAGGTACACTGACACCTACCTGCTGTCGCTTTTCTTCCTCCCTCTGCTGTTCTCCAAGGAGCTGCGGGTGGAGGTGGCCACGCCCACAGGGAGGTTGTCCTTACCCACCCTTTTACCAACTGCATACCTCTGGAAAAAAAAACAGTTACCCGTTTCTGAGTGTGTATGTGTGCACATGTGCACTGTCTCACCTGTATCCTCCTCCAGACGAACGGGGACAGTTTTCTGACAGCATAGGTGGCGAGTAGCAAGGCCAACAGCTTCCTGAGCTTGGAGCTCTGCCTCAGCTGAGCCGGCAGCTTCTGATAGGTCAGCTGCATGCTGACAGACAGGTAACAGATGACCAATCAGACGACAGTAACAGGACCACAAGAGGAGTCCAAACTGAACTTGGTCCTGGGGGCCCACTGAGGACTCCGTCACGAAAACGTGATGAGCTCAGAGTCAGGTCCTGCACCTGCACAGGTTTGAGAGGTTGTTGTGAGCTGGAGATAATACCTGGACATCAGAGAGGGTGGATACATTCAGACGACATCACAGTGTCAACCTCAGGTGAGACACAAGCACCTGGCCATCATCACCTGCACGCAGCCGACACGCAGCTCAGACAAAACTCTGCCAAAACACCTGCTAACAAACAACAAGTTCTGCTTCATCTACAACTATTCATGACTTTGCTTCAGAAGCTGACGGTGAACTTAAAACCATGAACCTCTGCAGCAGCCTGGTCCTCTCTCTGTCTCCAGCTCATCGATTTATTTCTGTCTATAAACATATTTCACACAAACTTCATCTTCCAACCAGAGCCTCAGATCCCAGGACACAGATCTGCTGTGTCACAGTGCAGCTTACTAGTGTATACCAGTTTAGTAGTACCGGTTACTACTTTAGCACTAGTGTATAGTAATTTAGCAACACTAGTTTCTGTTGTTCTCAGCTTACTGTAGAGTTCACGCTGTCCTCTGCTTTACTGTCTAGGTGTCGCTGAGACTAGGACTTGTGCTCGGGCAGCAATATTGTTGTTTTATGGCTACAAAGTTGGATCACTGATGTTTTATTGTCTATCACGATTAAACTTGATTGTTGAGACAGCGCCCAGACCCTGAAGAGAAAGCTTTGTCTAAGAGAGGTTTGACATGATGGTATGTGTAGCGCATTATGTCGTGAAACTTCATTATCAACCGTGTTTAAAGTATTTGCATTTTGTTATGGTATTTACTAATACTTTATAGCCGTCCCTGGTGGGCTAGTGGTTAAGGCGCAGCGCTCTCACCACGGTGCCCTGGGTTCGAATCAGAGTTGCGTCAGGAAGGGCATCCGGTGTAAAACACGTGCCAAATGTCAACATGCGAGTCGTCAGTGTGACAATTTGCTGTGGCGACCCCTAAACAGGAAAAGCCGAAAGTGACTTTCTTATTTACTAATACTTTATGCAGCATTTTGTGTGCATTATTTAATAAAACTTCATTAACAGCGTGGTCTGCGAGGCTCCTGTGTTCGGTGATTTTACTAACTTGTGACTGTACAGGACAGTAAAGGTGCAACTGACTGTTAATTCAACTGCCGATCAGTTCCCAGATTAATCAATTCACTGTTTAGTTTGTTAAGCATCAAAAACGGGAAGCACGGTAATGTGGAGAAGCTACCTGAGAGGCTGCAGCTTTACTCAAAACACCGATGGACTATCAGAATAGCTATGGCCCGATCCGACAGCTGACGACCCGCCGCAGCCGCACAGTTGTGTATCATAAAGGTATGTGCCAAAAAATTAGAATATCGAGGGAAAGTCCATTTATTTCAATAATTTGTTTCAAAAAGTGAAACTTGTATGTTATATTAGTTCACTACACACAAAGTGAAATATTTCAAGCCTTTATTTGTTTCAATTTTGATGATTATGGATTAAAGACAAAAAAAAACCCAAATCCAGTATTTCACAAAATTAGAATATTTCATGTGACCAATAAAAAAAGGATCTTAAACACATGTTGGCCTTCTGAAAAGTGTGTTAATGTACTGTATTATGTCCTCAGTACTTTGTTGGGCCTCCTTTTGCATTAATTACTGCATCAAGGCGACGTGGCATGGAGGCGATCAGCCTTTGACACAGTTGAGGTGTTATGGTAGCCCAAGTTGCTTTGATATTGGCCTTCAGCTTGTCTGCATTTCGGGGTCTGTGTTCCCTCATCTTCCTCTTGACAATACCCCATAGATTTTCAATGGGGTTTAAGTCAGGTGAGTTTGCCGGCCAATCAAGTACAGTTATTCCATGGCTATTAAACCAGGTACTGGTAATTTTGGCTGTGTGGGCAGGCGCCAAATCCTGCTGGAAAATAAAATCTTCAGCTCCAAAAAGCTTGTCGGCAGCAGGAAGCATGAAGTGCTCTAGAATTTCCTGGTAG